GCCACATGGCGGCCTCCAACGCAGCCCCAAATGCAACCATACATGGGTTATGGGTATGAGTTTCAATTCTATCCCACCATATTCCGGAATGCCGACTAACATGGCTGGAAATCTGGAATGTTGCCGCCTTTTCGGTATTATCAAGATGGCCAACATTTTTTTACTCCTCCAAGACCACCCAGAGGTCAATACGGTCGAGGCGACAGGCAAGACAACGAGCAAGGCGGTGAGCAAGGCAGCGTCAACCTGAGTCAAGTTCTCATCCTAGTACGGAATTTGATGTGAACATGTATTTGGATCCCAATTCCCAACGGGAACCCTCATAGTCCCCCGAATCTTTAGTAGTAATTTTATTTTCGATTCTGGAGTTTTATTTCAGCGTGTACATGTTTTTAATTCTGCTATTTATTTTCAGTTCTGGAATTTTTTATTTTTAAATGTAATAATATATTTGTCACTTACGTCGGCCGTGACAAAACTGAATTTATTTAAGGTGGCAATTTCGGTACCTTTTAAAAAAACGGGGTACTGTAACTACCATTCATTTGATTGGATCACATCACTTTATCATTTTTAATTTAGATTTAAATAATTCAACTGCTGCATTCTCATTGGTCCATGTCGACAAAGGTATGGTACCTTATGAGTACCATAGAATCTACCTTTATTTAATTCGATCGCCGTTCTATTTCTAATGCTTTAAATGGATTTTTTTTTACAGAAAAGTTTGATCACGAATCCCGGCCGTAACAAACCCTTGAAAAATTTAAAATTTTAAACTTTCCCGCCTCATTGTCATGGATTCAGTCCGTGACAATAATAAAATCAAGATGTTTCGGATTAAGGTTGTCACAGATTTAATCCGGGACAACCTTTGTCACGGATAAATTCCGTGACAAAACCCAAGCCGGAAGGTTTCGCTGATCGATAATCTTTTTGTCAGGGATTGATCGATAATATTTTGTAAAAAAATACTGAAATCACATACTATCTCCGTTCCATAATGGTTGTCTCATTTCAATTTGGCACGGTTATTAATAAAGTGGTTGAAAGTAAAAGTTGTGATTGAAATTTGAGTAGAATGAAATGAAATGATATGAATCACAAATGTCTTACTAAAAAGGGAAACATGACATCCATTTTAGGACAATCCAAAAATAAAAGTAAGACAACCAAAATGGAACAGATGGAGTAGATAATAATAATAATGCAATAACTTTTTAAATCGAAATGTATAGTATGAAATGCGCATAAAGTCATATTCATACGGTTATAAGTATAAAAAATGTTTTTGAGGTGTATCTTATAATAACCATAATCATGGTAAGGTACGTGGAATATGTAAGTCACTCACAGAGATTATTAGAGATGAAGTATTTAAAAATATTTTGTTAATGGACTCAATAATTTGTTCTAATATTAGCAATTGATCGAGTACAATTCGTGAATTGTGAGTATCTTAGGGTTGGTTTGCAACTGCTTTTAAAAAAGCACTTCTCAGCTTTTGGCTTTAAAAAAGCACTTATTTTCCCAAACACTACAACTTTTATTTTTCTCGGCTTCCGCGTCAAAAGTGCTTTTACTTTTTCTATTACACAAAAAACACTTATTTTACCAAACACTACCCACTTTTACTTTTCAAAATCACTTTTTTCTCAAACACTATCAACTTTTATTTAATCACTTTTCCCCATTTCATTTAAAAAAGCATTTTTTTAAAAGTAGAAGCTGTTGCAAACAGACCCTTAGTATCTTACCCTACATTAGAAAAATTATTACTCCTAGAAGTTTAGAACTTTTGACCCTACTCAGCACTCCGTAAATTTGTTTCAAACTTCCGTCAAACAAGCCGCTATGTGCTGAAACGAGTTTATTCCCTATCTAGGAGTAAAATATAACAAAAGTGCAAAAGTAGGAGTTAAGTAATCCGTATAGTTTCATAGGAGTAAAACAGAGATGAGTTGTCAAATCTACCCTTAATGAACACTCTACTTTATTTATTAAAAATAAAAAATACAACAATAAACTGCAAACCAGTATAATGTTCGTTTCCCTCACACCCCCCCAATAACAAGTTGCCCGCAGTACCACCCAGCAGCCGCCTCCAGTTGTCACCGACCAAGCCGTTGCCGCCAATCGCAATCGGATTTCGCCGCCGGACATCACCGCTGGACTTCGCCGCTAGACTTCGCCGCCGGACTTCGCCAAAACTGCAAACTCAATTGTTGCCGCTGCCGGCGTTGCAGTTGCCACTTGCCAGGTGCCTCTGCCGCTAGTCACTGCCACTACTTCCGGTCGTCGACGCTACCATATGCACCACTGCCACCTAATTTGTGTCACTGCTTTCTCATTTAATTTGGTACCACAAAGTTGTAGCATCACCATTCACCACCAATCTCAGATCTAGAAACTGTGTTTTAAAATATCATCTAAAAATATTTAACTATCAATTTTTTGAGATTTATATAAAAAGAGGATATGAATTTTAGTTTCATTTTGACATTTTCATGGAATTATAAATATTGGACTCACAAGAAAATAATACTGCCATCTCTATGGAATTTGTGTCATACAAATGGCAAGATGTGCATAAATAACATTTTTATACATGAAAAAACATGACATTATTAGCATTGTTTTTGTCATATATTTCCATAAAAATGGCACTAAATGTCAAAATAATATTTTCAACGTAGAAAACATGGAATGAAAAAACATGACATTATTAGCATTGTTTTTGTCATATATTGCCTTAAAAATGGCACTAAATGTCAAAACAAAATTTTCAACGTAGAAAAAACATGACATTATTATTAGCATTGTTTTTGTCATATATTTCCATAAAAATGGCACTAAATGTCAAAATAATATTTTCAACGTAGAAAACATGGAATGAAAAAACATGACATTATTAGCATTGTTTTTGTCATATATTGCCTTAAAAATGGCACTAAATGTCAAAACAATATTTTCAACGTAGAAAAACATGACATTGTTAGCATTGTACTTGCATAGGAGTGACATTTTCATTTCAATGCCATGAAGTTTCCAGCTTGTAGAAATTTGGTCTTCAAATCATATAATTAATTTGAAGAATGTAAAAAAAAATTATTAACCTAATTTTAAAGATAAAACGAAAAGTAAAAAGAACAAATATGAAATAATAATTGAAAGATAAAAAGGAAAAAGTAAAAAAAAGTTTGACCGATTGGATCTGTAAACAAAAAAGATAGAAAACCAAAATAAAAAAACAAAGGGGGAGAAAAATTAAAAGAGAAAAAAGGAGAAAGTAAAAGAAAGGCTTGGTCGATTGAATCTGTAAATAAAAAGAAAGAAAACCTAAAATTAATTCAAAAGTTGGTTTTACCAACATAGCAGCAGGTTCAATTAAAGGAAATACATGCTCTTACAATCACCGAGCAAAACAAAAAGTGGGAGAAGAAGGGAAGAAAAGGAGAGAAGAGAAGATGAGAAGAGGAAAAGAGGAAAATCAAACCTTACCTTGCCATCCTGCCCTCGTCGTCCTGCCGGTGACTGGAGTTGAAGATAAAAATCACAATCCATTTTTGTTATCTGCTAGAGATTGAGAGATTGAAGAGAAGGTGTGGAGATGGATGAGTTTTAGAGAACAAATCTGTAGCTGGGCGTGGGGAAAGGAAAGAGGAGTGGAAAGAGAAGAGAGAGCGGTACGAAGAGTGGGTGCGATCGAGACAGATAGGAGGTTAAAAGCCTGACAAAGAAAAATAATTAAAGCTGAGGGTAAAATTGGAAATAGAATCGGCCGAGTAAATTTAAAACTCCTATTCTGGGAATAAATGAATAAGGAGTCCTATTTTGGAACATACTTATTGTTTTAGTCCTACTTAGATCAATTACTTGTGCTGAAACCCTACTAATCCGCATCTTCATCATCTCCTTGCTTCTAACAATTTCATTATGTCTGAAGCTAATCCGATAGAGATATGTTGCATAGGAGCTGGGAGGATAGGAGTGTTCAGCATGCTCGTTTTAGCTCATAGAGTGCCTAACGTCAACATCACCATAGTGGATGAGGATCAGAATCTCATAAACAGGTGGCTAAGTGAAGAACTCCCTTTCTATGAACCTGATCTACAGCACTTTATTCAGCTCTACCGTGGAAATAAAGTCAAGTTCGAATACAATATCGAAGGTGCTATTGGAATGGCAGAGGTAATCTTTTTAGCCATTGAGTTGAAAACTAAAGAGGAAGGTCTGGGAGAAGGAGGGTTATTAGAATATAATAAGTGGGAGAAAATGGTTTTGCAAATTAGGAATCATGCCCAATTACCTAAAATTGTAATTGACAAATCTGTTGTGCAATTTGGAATGCGCAACCAAATTCGCACTATGCTGTCAAATAACATTTATGCTGCTCAGCATGACATCTTTAGCAATCCTGAATTTTTTAGCAAGGGGACTGCCTTTCAAAACCTTCTAAATCCGGATAGAGTTGTGCTTGGAATTAAAACCCCAGGCAGTCATATAGAAGATATCATGCAATTTTATGATTGGGTCGAGGATAATCACATTATGATTATAAATAACTGCAATGGGGCGGAGGTGGGGAAGTTTGCTAGCAACATATTTCTTGGACTGAACGGGATTATCAGCAATATTATAGCTTCTATTAGTCAAAAAGTTGGTGTAGATGTGTTTGATGTAACCAATGTTGTGCAAGGGGACAGGAGGTTGCACGGAATACCAAAGCCTCATGGTGTTATAGGCGGGCCCTCATTGCAGAGGGACATACAGTTTGCTGCGTATCTCTGTGAGGAGTATAACCTCAAAGAACCGTCTCAGTTTCTTAAGCTTTCTATAAAGATTAACAAGAAGACTAAAGAAGATTTTGTAAAAAAAATGCTTGAGATGATGGTTTCCCTAAAAGATAAAGTCATTGTTGTTTTGGGATTCGCTTTCAAAGAAAATACGAATGACATTTCTGACTCCGCTGCACTGTATGTTTGCGAGCTGCTATTAAAAGAAAAGGCAGTGGTTCGGATTGTTGACCCATGGGTCCATGCTGGGGTTATCAGGGCATGCTTCTCTTCTAGGTTTGTGAATTCCGGAAAACTACAAGTTATTAATGTTAACCAAATAGCCGCTGCTTGGAATGGAGCTGATGCCATATGTGTGCCGACCAGGTCCAATTTTTTCGTGCCACACATTGTTGCCAACAACATGGATAATATGAACAACCCAAAGTTCTTTTTTGACTTAAGCTGCAACCCAGATTATGATCTTGCTGGGCTCACACAGGCAGGGTTTGAAGCGTATGGTTTCGGCCGTTTGATGTAGAGTTTGATGTGGCTGAGAAGTCTGATTGGAAATACTCAGTACTTTAGCAGTCGGAAGCTCTATATGTTGCCCTACTAGTTTTCAGTGATAGTGTATCTTATTTCATGATGTACCTAAAAAAAGACTGTTAGTATATCCTTAAATGAGGTACTTTGCATCTGGAATGAGTCTTCATTTTACTTTTGTACTCATTAATCTGAAAAGTTCAATTGAGGTCCTACTTTCTTACGCTTGCGTGCAGTTTGTTACATTGTTAAATAATCTTAGAATGTTAATAATAAAGCTTAGGCTTTTTGTGATTTCGTGTTGCTAGTAGGATTAAATTTCTTTGATAAATCTCTGGATATTTACTGTTGCAGCCATTGGAACACCGCATTGATTTACGGTAAACTGGTCGGTATTGTTCAGTTGGCATTGGTTGTTACTCAGTTTTAATAACGTTTCATGTCAATTTGTCATGGTTATTATTAATTACATCTCTTTTCTTAAGTAAACTTGTTTATTGAAGTCTAAAAGACATTACACTGCACTCTGTAATGTAATGCATAAGATTTTTTAAATGTCCCTCATTGCAAGAACATGAAAAAAGATACTGGGGTATATCTCATTTTGAAGTTTCAGAACTCAAATAGTAAATAGATTGTATGATGAAGTTGCAATATGCTTCTACAACACTGTAAGTCGTAAGTCATTGATCCTCATAAAACTATGACATTTGTGTTGCTATAGTAATGCTAGTTTAGAATTATTATTTTTTACACTTTAAAGATCTCTCCGTATCAGGATGTGTATACTTGTATTGTTTATGCCAATCAATGGCTGGATTACTAGATGGGGCACGCTTAATATAAATGTTTTCTAGAACTGAGTGGTAAAATTTTACTGTAAAGCGTGAGTATACAATCGATTTTTTTAATAAAAATACATAACCAGGTTTCGTAATGTATATATATATATATGTGTGTGTGTGTGTGTGTCACAGTAAAATTATTTGTCCCATAAGTAGTTATTTTGCAGGCCTTTATCAGTGCAGATAATGATTTTGATGTTTACTAACACCATTTGACAATGTCAATAGATGGGAAAGGAGAATTTGCAGGACTTGAATTGTGTCTACATATACAATGTCCATGATCGAGATGATTTAGACAGACCAACAGCAAAACTTATAATTTGAGCTGCGACAATTCACTATACAATGCTATTTGGGCTGCTCAGGCTCTTCTCCACAAAAGGAAAGTGTTTATCTTTTGTCTTGTTTTACATTTGTCCTTATCTTAAATGTCATCTGTTTTTCTATTTTAGTTGTTTTAGATTTTAGTGATAGTGGCTCTAACAGTCACATATCTGCAAAAAGTGCTGATAAAAGGATTCTCTTATTTACAAATGAAGATGACCCATTTGGTTGTATCAAGGGAGCTATGAAATTGATATGATGAGAACAACCATCCAACGAGCCTAGGTATGATACACTGACTACGGTTTTTTGTTCGACTTGTTTTATTGTGAAGCTAGAAATCCTAGAATGAACTATTTGTTTCAAAATAATAGAAAAGAAGTGATTGTTGCTAGAACGTTGTTCTGAGATACATATCAGTTGCCTTTTTACAAGGATTATTTATGCCTCTTTGCTATTGTAATTTGCCTATTAAAGGTAATGTTTGGCTACCGGTGTTTTACTCCCTAAAAGCCGTTTTTACGATAGAAAACGCTGCTAAATGCAGTGTTTAGCAGAACTGGTGCAATATAAAGATTCTTTGCCCATTTCTCCTTAATATGAGAACTTGGAAAAGCAGAAGTATGAAGCAAATGCAGCCTGATCCTGTGTTTCATCCGTTGGCTTTCTTCTAGGAACACTTGAAACAAATGCAGCCTGATCCTATGTTGCACTTCTACTTTCGTCTGAATAGATCTAATCATTTACGCTTAGCTTTTGATTTTTTCTTTTAAAAAACAAATTGCAATTATATAGACATTTATTCATAATTTGAATGACTCTGCTGCACACTTGACTTATTTTATAGATTTCTCTTTATTTGTTTCTTCACAGTTGTGGTATGTGAAAGGTTGTAATTTGGGAAATAATCATAAATAATTTCCCATCTCAGCTTCATTTGTTGATTAGTGGTGAAAATCCTATAGGAATATAATGACTTCTTTACCCACTCGACTTCCATTCCATTCATATCCTTAAAGTAATACTCAATTCCACCCTTCCTCTTTTGATTTTTGATTATTTTGTTGTCCTTTTTTTTATAACTAAAACCATCATTCATACATGGAAAAAATTAAGTTTTAGTTTTGTTGGTGAGGGTATTGAGGATTTTTAGAAGCTGTTCTCTTCTCTTCGCCTGATCTGAATGTTTCTGATCTGAATTTTTTAAGTTCTGATCAGATCTGATCTGAATTTTTCTGATCTAATCTGATCTGAATTTTTCTGATCTGATCTGATCTGAATCTTTCTGATCTGATCTGATTTGAATATTTCTATATTTATAATTATAATTACAATTATAATTATAATTATAATTATAATTATTATAATTGCAATTACTAATATAATTTAAATAAAATTATAATTATAATCGTAACTATAAAAATAATAATAATATTTAAAATTAAATTTAAAATGAAAAAATTTATACCTATTACACTAATTATAAATATAGATATAATTATAATTGTAATTATATTTTTAATTATAATTACTTATATCATTATAATTGTAATTATAATTACAGTATCCCTATAATTGTAACTATAGTTATCAATATTATTATAATTACTCCGTAAAATAATTACAATAGTAATAATAATAATATTAATAATTATAATAAAAATAATAATTATAATCATAAATTATAATTATAATGTAATTATAAGTATAATTATAATTATTATAATTATAATTAATAATAATTATAATTATATTAACATTAATTATAATATTATAATATAATAATAGTAATATAAATACAATTAATATTATCATAACAATATTATTATATTAATATTATTATTTCAATTATATAATAATAATATGATTATTATTATTATAATTAGTATTATATTATTATAATATTATATTATAATTATAATTATAATCATAATTATAATTATGATTGTAATTATAATTATAATTATTATAATTATAATTAATTACAATTATAATTAATTATAGATATAATTATAAAAATTACAATTGATTATACTTATAATTTTAAGAATTATAATTGTAATTATAATTACATATAATTATAATATAATATTATAATAATATTAATCATATTATTATTATTATATTGTAATAATAATAATAGTCTTCTTAATAATTGCATTTATATTACTATTATTATATTAAAATATTATAACTATTATTAATATCTTATTTTTTATCATATTATTTTTAATATTATTAATAATAATTATATAATAATCATAATAGTAATAACAATATTAATAATAATAATTAATATAATAATAAAAGTGATAAATCATGTTTGAACTTTTCTGATCTGATCTGATCTGAATTTTTCTGATCTGATCTGATCTGAATTTTTCTGATCTGATCTGATCTGAATAAAATGAGAATAAGCAATAAGTAATAAGATTAAGACGAACAGAACAACACCTTAGTCTTCAAGATCCACAGTTTTTAGATGTAAACCTCATGTAGGTCAATGGGCAACTTCATCCCTATTATTCACCGTTTTCATCATCTTCATCGGAATCTATCAGATATGATTTTAATCCAGATATGATTCATTTTAGATTCATAAAATAATTATGTGCATGCCTTTGGATTCAGGATGTTTTTACTTGGACTGTAATTTGCTGGTCTGTAATTTGTTGGTCTGGTCTGATCTAGTTTGAACTGGTCTAGTCTAGTCTGGTTTCTTTGTATTTTTATAACTATCCAAACTTGGTCTGGTTTGGTTTGGTCTGGTCTGGACACATTACAGTCCAAATAAAAACATCTTCACTTTCAATTGATGCTGAAAGGATATCACTATATTTCTTAGGATACAAACAAGCGACAGGTTCTAACTTTCAATATCCAAGGTTTATAAGATAAGGCTGATCATCCCGTGAGGACCTGGCAGAAGCAAGTAATACAATTCTGAAAACCATATATTACAATTCTGAAGTTGGAGGATGAACTTTGACATAATAAATTTGGAGCTTTTGACCTGCATTTCATTTGTCCGAAAACCTTCACTTTTACAACGATTTAATAAAACTAACTTAAAGTTAAAAAACTAGAACGTTTATGCCATTCTCGGATGCTTCTTCTTCTATGGTTTTGCAAAGCCAGGAATATAGTTGTTAAGTTTTTGAAGGTATGTTAGGTTTCATTGCCATTCTCAATATTTTATGTTTTAGGGCATAAGAGATTTGCATATAAAAATCAACTGTTGCTTTAAGAAAGAATATCACAATGTTGCTTATCACTATTTCTATATGATGTTGCTCTCTATAGGTTAAAAATATATTTCGTGGTTGCTATACAAAATTGTTTTTATATGCCTAGCTCTCTGATCAAATAACATTACTATGCTTTTGTAATATTGAGCTCATTAGAGATGTATGTGGCCTGATTAAGTATGCTCCAATTTGTTAAAACAAATAACAACATTTAAGTCTTGACTTAGGTTGCTAATAACAGGAGCCTCAAATGCATAGTGGTGAGTCTCCTGTCTCACTATTTGTCAACAATGCATTTTTTTGTATACTTGCATTTATGACTTCGATTTTGTTTCTGAATTTGGTAACATTCTACTTAGTATGGTTTATGATTATTAATCTGACGATAGTATTTTGTGACTTTGGTTCAATGTAGCCCGTTAGCTTCTTTCTTTTAAATTTTGTAGAACATGAAACGAAGAAAATCTTACAATTATTATGTCTTTCATCTCACCACGGATTTAAGATCAATCCCATTCTTCTCTTTTTCTAATGCAATTTGTCAATTTTTTTTTTAGCATATTTGATATTTGGATTTATTATAATTTTTTCTTTCGGGTTTTAATTGTTTGACCAAACTTTTTCTTTTAGAATGTAAGTGAAAATAATCAATGCAAGTGTATTCAACTTTAGTACCCTATCTTAAATGATAGAGCACAACTTATGAGTTTTTCCATAAATCCAATCTAGTGCCCTGTTTATAAGTCAAACTTGAAATGATATGGAAAAAATTATGAGCTTCTACACAAAATGGTGGGAGTTGAGAGAACAAAAACAGATTTATACTACAAATTAAGGACTCCCCACTCTTTGTATACCACTCTTTGCTTACCGGTAAAAGACTAAATGACTCTTTTCTCTTGACTTGCCATTGATATGAAAACCTGTATATTTTTATAGATATCTATTTTATCAATTCAAAATTTTGAATGGATCACTTGTGGAACAAGATTTATACAGAAATGAAATTACTAATTAGCTTCTTCTCTAAAGAACTATCCCAGTTTCCTCTTTTCAGATACTTCTTTATTGATAATAAGATTTACTTATGCTATTCCTAAGGTAAGTATAAAACTCTGTCCTAGGGAACCTCAGTTTACTAGGAGACAGTATAATGTGCAAAGAGTAGGATTGCCAGCACAAGATTATTTGCTATTAATTTAGATTGGTATTTGTGCAAACTGGACAGGATAAATTGAGTGCACTAGAGTGGGACAAGGTATTTAATGATCATCAAAGCTGGAGACTTATCGTTTATGTTAGGTATAATACATGCACGCCTATTGTATGTTAACTGAACATGCTTCTTGTGTCACCTAATTTGCCCATATTTGTCTGCAGGGGCGGAGCCAGGATTGGATATGGAGGGGGCCAAAATAAAGTATAAATTGTAACATAAAATGTAATGTTAATATCAATTACCAAATGATGTATTGATATTCATCAAAAAATTGAAAAACATTATCCAACAAAACATCAATGGACATTAAGAACTTTTCTCTTACACGTCATGGAAATCATCGATAATTAATTGAATTTCATACTATATATATATACAAAAAGTCTTATAATATTGCTACTAAAATATTCAACATGTTAAAAAAAATCAACATGTTATAATGTGATACATACTTAAATTCTTGATTATTACTGCGTACTCAAGAATAATGATTTTGAGTAGTAGTGTGTAATAGATTTTGATTAAACATTGAATTTCTGGAATAAAATAGTAAAAATTGTTTGTTTCCAGTTTTCAACTATAAAACGTTTAAACGATAAAAAAAACTATAAAACGTTTAATTTAAGTATAGAAATCTATTTATAAACACTTATACTAAATTTTTGAATTTAAAAGTATTTTCTTAAGAAAATGCATCCTCTATAGTCCAATTCCAAATTTCTCCTATTTCTTTAAAGGAAATTTCCTCTATCTAGATTAAATGAATTAAAGCCATTTGTAACTCAAGTTAAACTTAAACTTTAATTTTACAACCTGCTTGTTTAATTTCACTTCCTACTTAGTTGATACACCCCACAAAACGAATTAGAAGCTTATAAACATTATACTAGAAGTACATGATGCTTGCTCAAAAAAAATAGTGAGAAAGGGTGACAAAAAAAAATTACGCACTACTAGTACTAAAGAAAATAAAACGTGGGAGGGGCCATGGCCCCCTTCACCTTGAACGTCCCTCCGCCCCTGTTTGTCTGAATTATTGTTTTTATTGGTAAGTAGTATCAATGATTTTGTCAATTTCTTCTGCTCCAATATTCAGGTCTTTGTTGTGATCAGAAACACCAAATAAATTGGTGCAAAACTACATAATCAACCAGCTTTTACACACCAAATCTAATGTTTTTGTCAAGATACTCATTACAAATGCTTCTGGAATGATATCATTAATCACGTACGTAGTACATCCCTTGCCACATTTTGTGTCTTATTAGCTGCATTTTTTATAAGCTCATAAATTTAAAAACTACGTTTAATAGCCTAAGCAATTGCTATCCCAGGAATTCGGGATGACTTTATGAAAACATTATAGTGTCATTGAAAGCTATTTGATCACATGTATTATTACTGCTAGTCTTTTACCCGTGCGTTGCACTGGAGAGCAGATTGATTAAAAGATATAAAGTATTAAATCTTGCACAGGATATCTATATATAATACATTTCAAATATAAAATCAAGGAAAATTTTGTCATGTGTCATCTTCTAAGCAAACATCATTATTATATTCTAAGTTCCCTATCTAATTTAGTATATTAATTAATAATACTTCGTTACTTTAGTATATAAGTTGGATTTGAATTGATGATACATTAGCAATCATTTTAACTTACGTAATTCCAGTATCCTGATCTAAAGCTACGTAATTAAAAAACTTCTTTTTTTTGGAAGAAAAAAAAACTTCTTAAAACTCGTGCCACTCTAAACGGGGACAGAGGGAGTACATCATAGTAACTTTGAACACAAAAGTTACGAAGTCACATTTTTATCCATCACTTTTTAGAACTAAATACTAATATTAGTGGATGTCTTCCTTACTTTTATTCTTATGTTTACTAATACATTAGAGAGAAGGTTCTTTATATTTTTTTGAAAGGTATTAAATTAATTAGCATTAATCAAATCAAAAGATAAAACATTCGAGATACAAATGCGAGGAATACCCATCTAGATACAACAACCAGACATAAAACGAGCTACTCTAGCTACTCTAGGTTCATTATATTATTAAAATAAGATCTAACCATATATTACTTCCGTCCCCTTAAAATTGAGTTAAGAAAAGGCACTGCGGTCCATTATTAAGAAAAGTAAAATTGATTCGTTGATATTGAATTTGAAAAATGTAAATCAAGTAAAAATGAATTGCAAAATGATCTACTTTGCTACTTTATAATCTACAAAGTAGAGTATAACGCCAACAAAATTATTTGATGAACTTTGCAAAGAAATATTCAAATCAACATTTCATTTAATTTTCAAGAAGTGTCTCTAAACAATAATGCCACTTATATTTTAAGGAGTATATAATGAACGAAGTATCAAGTACACATTATATCAACATCAGTCGTTTACCTGACCTAATCACACTGGCCCTATCTTAAATACACCAGACAAATTCATACTTAAAAAGACTAGGTCATATCAAACTACAAAATTTCAATTCAATAAAAAAACATCAAAAACATCATCAATTATTCCACATTAAGTTTTTGGTACTTTAAAATATGATATTTTAAGCAGATTTTGTAACCATAGAATCTGGAAACTTTAAAGTTTCTGGAAATTAAAACTTAAAGTACATCTAAAAACATAAAGTCTAAAGTTGTTTTTGATTCATAGTTGGATATTTTAATCACTTCTTTGGAGGTTGTTAACGAAGAAATAAAGGAAAAATTGAAAATGATAATCTCAATTATTATCAGTTAGTTGTTAATAATTCCAACTATTAACTATATTTCTGTATGGTCCCAACTATGGGAATCTTTTTTTTTTTAAATAGTCCCTAATCGGCTATAATAGTCCCTAATCGGGTAAAGGTGACCTAATCGGGCTGGCCCTATCTTAAATACACCAGACAAATTCATACTTAAAAAGACTAGGTCATATCAAACTACAAAATTTCAATTCAATAAAAAACATCAAAAACATCATCATCTATAAATAATACATTTCAAAGATACAATTATGGAAAGTTTTGTCATGTGTCTTCTTCTAAGACAAACATTTATTATAATATTCTAGATTCTCTTTCCAAATTTAGTATATTAATTAATTGTGCTTCGTTACTTTAGGATTTATGTTAGATTAGGATTGTTGTTAATTTAGTACTAAGCTATTAGAATTCTACGTAAGTAGGAACACTTAGGACCCCACCCAAAAAAATCTCTCTAATTTTTTTGAATTGATATTAACTTTTTAATTTGTAATTGATTTTTTATAAAAAAAAATATCTCAAAATTCATTGAGTTTTTTATTATCTTTCATATGACATCAATATTACATATGTAAAAATAAAAAAGAATTAAACATAGGAAAAATGGAAATTTTTTAGTTCAAAACTTTTTGAAAATAGATCCAAGCTTTAAAATTAAGATCCCATTATTGTAAAGCGTAATATTATGGTTTAATTAGGGGACATTTTATTTATTGATTGAAAGTGTCAATAAAGACACGTTAAGCTCTAAAACATTTATTTAAAAAAAACAACTCAAATTAAGTCTACAAAACAACTCAATTAAGTCTGTCTTAAAGATTAGAAAATATAAAAGACCCTAGCAAGCCAGGAGAAAGTAGAAGCTACATGCTTGGGACCCCAATTAAAAAAAACTTTACCCGAATCGTGCACATGATAAAATGATTTTGCTTTTAGTTTTATTAGTGAAAATCACTTATTTGTCGATTATAACATTGGTTTGTAATGAATATCCAAATTTATTGAGCATGTCTTATTTTTTTAACTAATTATCTAAACATGCTGCAATATTTCAAAGAGATATTTGGTGAACATATGAGATTACTTATGCTTGAAGTCTTTAGACAAAGCATTTGTTATCTTCCATGTAGATCTATGAAATTTCTATTTATTACATATAGCAATCATATCATCACATTAAAAGTGGTTTTTAAGAGCTACATAAGTAAGCTAGATCATGTATAAAGGATAATTTTTTACTCTATGGTGTTACTTTAATATAGTACTATTTGGTCATGGAAATTGAGATCATTTTTTGTTTATGAATATGGGACATTCGTTGTTTTATTTTCGTAGCATAGTTTGGCATGATTATATTTTGATTATTAGCTACCATTTGATGTGAAATGCTTTTTAAGGATTTAATTTATCTCATCATTCAGGTAAAGATTGTCTACTAAAAGTCTATAATATGTAACATTTTTTCATTCAATTACACTTATTTTACCTAATATAAGATCATAATTCCCTTAATAACTCACTCTAACAAAAAATAAATCAACCACTAACAATCATATTATGTATGTAGCATGTTCTCACATTCATTAAAATCAGTTTGTCACAAACTATATATTTTGAACTATTTTTTTAAAGAAACACATTGAAGGACTAATTTGCTAAAGTCAAAATCCTAATATTAAAAAAATTGACTACACCCATTGTTAAAATAAATAAATAAATAATTAACAAAAAGGTGTAGTTAGTTTTGGAAAAACAGCGACATATGAGATCTAATGGATAAAAATAGGCATTGAACAATTTCTTTTTTTGTTTAGGTAAATTAAAAATGGTTGTTTTATACTTTTATGCAACTGAGAGTTATAAATAAAATTGTCTCTTTTGAAAAATATAGACCGAAAACGAAGTGGAATGAAGGCCAATATTCCCGCTCAAATCTGTCTCAATCATGGGTCAAAAAGTTGGTCCACAAATTGGGTAAAATGCACCAAACACCCCCATGTTATATAAATCATGCACACTATCCCCTTGTGTTTTTAAAAATGCACAAAACCCATTTATGTTTTGTAGAATCTTGCACAAAATCCCTTAAAATGGTGAGTCTAATGTGCGTGTGATACACTTGCTATTTGATGTGATTTTTTTAATCTAATTTCAGCTCTTGAGCTAAGTAAATGGCAATTTTACCCTTTTGCATCAAATGGATAGCTCTCATTTTTTCTTTGCATCTTCTTACGCTTCAAATTAGTATTATTTCAATCTATGTAATGCATGAAAGAGCAGCAAAATATTTAGGATGCAAATCCAAAATTAATTACAATGTATTTTTTTTGTGAAAGCTCAAATAATTATCCAATAAACGGACATTGGTAAATTCATCATAACTACATATGGTTCCTTTACACAATAATTTGTTTCAGTACTTACCAATTTTAAACAAAAAAAAAAAGATAGGCTCATTATGTATAGTGTTATAAAACATGTTAAAGCAGAGACAATATTACATTTTTCAAGCAAACATGACATTCCAGATGCTTCAGGTGTAGGATCAATTGAGAGCAGACTTCAGGACATTGCCAACAAAAACACAACAAGGACTAAGGTTTAATGCTCTCAATTGAAATGTCACATATTCCAAAATTATAACCTGCATATGTACTTGGCACTGCTTTCATGTATCCGTGAAATAGCATCACAGAAATCATACATAGAATCACTCATCAAAAGTCATATAAACTCTTCAATCTAAAGAACAATCTCATTATCAAAACATGGAGCACTGCAAGTCTCCAATGTCAATCTTAGCCTCATACATACAATGTAGGTTACATGTCAAATTCATTTAATTTAACAACCAACCATGAAAATAATAGCAGCACGAGCAGCACTCGAACAAGACAAAACATCATAACAATATCAATATTAACAACACAAAACATCACAAAATAAAAAGCTGCATACTTAGGAGCTCATAACATCAACCCAAAAACAGTGTTTTACACAAGTTCAAAGGTTTCTAGGAAATATAAACACAGCCCCATACTTAATCACTGCAAAAAATATCAATTGTTATCCGACCCATATGTTCAACCTATTTTGGGGTATTTGGAGCTTTTTCTTTTGCTAAGTTTTTGTTAAGAACACAAACTTCTTGAGTTGGATTCACAACTTCAGATCCTAGCATATCCTTTATCACCTAAAAATAATAATAAATGTAAGTTAAAAAAGTCTCTTGCAATGGTGTGCTTTAAACACATTAGTTAAAAAAAAGTGAAGTTAAAGAGTTTACCAGAAGGACTTTGAAAGGTTTGAGTGTCAAGATTTGACACCATCGCAAAAAACATGTCATGATCCACCTGTTCAAGTGTAGAATTTACTGTAATAGGTCGTTGTTGATCTAGCCCTCTAGCTTCATTTGGAGCTTCTTCAGTGGGCTTTGGTGCTGATTTTTTGGGGCAAGTTTGTTTATTATGCCCAAGAGTTCCACACATCTTGCATGTATGTGTTAGTCCCCTTCTTGAAGCTTTTGACGGGTTAATGTCATTTCCATCGGCTCTTCTTTTCTTCTTTGGCCTACCTCTTCTCAATTTTACATCAGGTGCTGCAATCTCACCCTTTCCACTATCTTCAAACTCGTGCATGCCCGGAACTGGATGAATCATGTGCTCATAAACTCTCAAATACATATTCTTTTTGAAGTAGTCATGTATATAGTCTTCAACATTGAGCCTATGATAAGAAATACAGGATAAGGCATGGCAACAAGGATAACCACACAGCTGGAAAAACCCACACGTACAAAATTGCTGTTTAAGATGGACAATGTGATTTTCCATATAATATTGCACCTCAAATGCGTCATTCCCTGCCCAAGAAGGATAACAATTCATACTTCGTTGTCTTTGAATATCTATCTTCTTTATAATGTTAGGGCACACATTTCCAGCATATCTTTCCATCCCACACCTCTTAACTTGAATTCTAGTCATGAGTTTCCTTCTAATCCACTCAAACATATCAATTATGGGAAGATCTCTAGCTGGTAATATGTAATTGTTGAACGATTCCGAAATATTGTTCACTATCACATCACATTTTGCATTGGTTTTAAAGAAACACCTAGCCCAGTGTTGGGTTGGAACTTTACTTAGCCACTCAAAAGCTGTATCTTCATCACCTTTCTTAGGAGATAACCGCTCTATTTCTTTCATCACTCTTTGATGTGTCTTCACGTTAAATGTTGAAGCTGCTTTCCAGAATAGTTTTTTAAGCTCCAGGCTACCAAACTTAGCTTTGAAATTATTGTACATGTGCTTCACACAGTACCTAACACATATTAAAAAAATTACATTCAGTAAATGTAAATTTCTTTGTAATTAGAACTTATTGATCCAATGTTTTGTTAATCTAAATTTTACCATTTATAGCTAGTAAAAATCTATACAAGTTTATAAAGGATCTTCTAAAAATGATGTACTAACCTGTGTTCAGAATGTGGGGCATTTTCTTTTATTGCTTCAATGAGCCCTTTTTGCCTATCAGAAACAAATGTCCACTCATGTTGCTCCGCAGAACCTAAATCTCTTATCAGTAAATTCAAAAACCAATCCCAACTGTCAAACTTCTCCATTTCAACAAATGCAATTGCAATAGGGTACATGTTATCATTTCCATCCCTACCAATTGCTGATAATAACTGTCCTCCATATAAACCCTTCAAGAAGCTTCCATCCAGCCCGATTATAGGTCTACATCCAGACAACCAAGCTTCTTTGTTTGACGCAAGACACATGTACATTCTCTGCAGTTTGGGTGGAGTAAAAGACCTATCAACCTTTACTACAATTGAACTCATTGGATTATATTTTTCCACCGTCGCACAATAGTCATATAATCTCTTAAACTGCAAACCGGTGTCGGTTGTTAGCAAGGAGAGGGCATATTTTCTAGCTCTATATACCTTATGCATACCAACTTGTATACCACACTCACTTTTTATCTTGTTTTTTAAAGCTTCCAAGCTCACATTAGGGTTGTCACTCACAGATTCTCGAATCCTTTCTCCAAGGTACTTGTAGTCTGCTTGGTGATTATCAGTCCTAAACGCACATGTGTGCTTTCCTTGAAGAGTTTTCAGCTGAAATGTTGAGCTATTTTGAATAATGGAAGCCCTCATCATCCATTCACATCCACCTTTGCAAACAGCCGTTATAAGTTTCGCTTCACATTTGGGATACTTAAGATCATAACCTTTTCTGACGGACCAGTCCTTCACAACCTTCTTAAAGGTTTTCCTATCAGGAAACTTTTGCCCAGCTGCCAACTTAAAATTTTGCATATTAACGCTTTCGCTCCATTCAAAGTCATCCACCCTTAACTCTTCATTTTCACCATCACTAAACCATCCTTCTTGTTCTCTGACTTTTTTTTCAGCAGCTCTTTGCATTTTGTTTTTTTGTCTCTTATCTTTTATATGCTTATTGGCATACTCCCATACTTTTCTTGAATGGTCAGGCATTCTTGTAGCAAAAATGTCATCATCATTGGGGCCCTCTATGTCTTCCAATGTCCAGGAGGGGCATGAGGAGACAATTGAGTCGGAATCACAACTTGAATCGTCGCTATCATCGCTATCATCGTTGCTATCTCCTTCTTCTTGTTCAACATAGAGTTCATTTACATTGACGACCTCAACTGCAGCAGCCATTTGTGTTGTTTCTTCTGTAGAACATATAAAAAAGAGTTCAATCATCATAGATTTCAGCTATTACTTTTCATTTTTTAAAGCTCAGATTACATTACAATAAGTGTTTTTTAAAATTAAGTGAGAGTTAGTGAACCAATTAGTTTTTTTCTAGTTAATATCAACTTTATTAGAAATCAGTAAAACATAACTTGTGGATCTAAATTTAGTTTAACTTGATTAGAATGTACTAATAAACAGAACTAGTGAATCGAGTTTTTTTTGTCTAGTAATTCTCAACTTTTTTGTGTAGTGAATCTCAAGTTTGAGCACATAGCATCAACTTTATTTCAAAAATCACAAGTTAAAACATGAGCTGAAATACTAATAAAAATTTAGTAAACCTGGAAGTTTTAACCAATATAATCTAACTTTGGAATATATAGAAGTATTCCTGATGAAATCCTTTTTTTTAGAGAAAAATCTTTTTTTGAGAGAGAAATCTATGTTGTTTAAAGTAATACACAAAACACCCAAATAAAACCCTAAATTATAATTACAAGCAAAACTTAATAAATTAGCCACAAATACAACCCAAATCAGAGTTGTCTAGTGAACAAAACTTTATTATGGCTAGTGACTACTAATAAACAGAATTAGTGAATCAAGTTTTTTTGTTTAGTGATTCTCAACTTTTTTGTGTAGTGAATCTCAAGTTTGAGTACATAGCATAAACTTCACTTCGAAACCCACAAATAAAAAACATGAGCTGAAATACAGTAATAAAAATTTAGTAATTAAACCTAGAAGTATCAACCAATATAATAACTTGGAATATATAGAAATATTTCTAATGACATCTAAGATTCAATAATTGCATAAAGCCATACACATACTCGTAAGTTACCAGCATATTAAAATTAGTATCAAGCTGCTCTTATTTACCTTCCCATAGATTAAGTAATCTACGGAGTAGAAGAATGAGTAGAAGAATTAAAAAGATTACGGAGTATTTGCTAACCTAGCCTCTGTTTTTTTCGCAAGCCCTAGCCTCTGTAATATTCTTGCTCACTATGGATTTTTGGTGGTTGAATGGTGTGTGTTGGTTTTAATCCCTATTGTAACCGGTGATGTACTAGTTAATTAAAAGGGGTAAAAGGGGAAATTTTTAAAATAGAATCAGCCGTTAATTTTTTTCTGCATATGGGGAAGGTAAGCAAGGTTTATCAAAACTGAAGGGAGTTTAATGCTTTTTAAAAAACACAGGGGATAGTATGCATGTTTTAAATAACATGAGGGGATTTGGTGCAATTTACCCTCCACAAATTGCACTGAAATGTCCGGAAGTTAACTCTATAATAACCAGCGTCAGCCGTCGAAGACATACATATCCTTTGGACAGTGGGCAAATGGGCAGCTACTCGCTCACATGAAAGTCGCTCACATGAAAGTAACTCTGTCACTCTGTTTTGTTTTCCATGAGAGCCTATTCTAAATCTGCATCCAGATCTTCTCGACACATATGTAGCGGTCAATCGATTCTAAATCTGCATCCGGTGGAGCCATGTTGGGTTCTCCCGGCTGAAACCATACCAGAAGCTTCCGGTGGAAAGCATCATCAGTTTTTCGTGGGTACATAGTCGCTAACATCTCCAGCAGGCGTGACCTCGGGGATCGAGATAGCAATCGGCTAAGGATATTCATCAATAACAGCCAGCAACGGCATGTTCATCATTGGGCGCCGACGATTGGTGATGTGGCACAGATGCGACCAGATCCAGCCATGGCAAGCTTGCACGTTCGATGGCTACAAGACGGAGTTTGTGTTCCAGCTTCCGCAGAACTGCAGAAGTGGTCCTTTCGATTCCCTGAGCATCGAGAATAAATTCAACATCGTCGACAACAATAGGCAACACTCAGAAAAACTGAGTAAGTTAGCAAGGCTACAAACATCTTCCATTTATGCAGTTTATGTATCCAGTTTCTGCCTTTTTTATCAAAAGTAATAATAACATGTACATAAATCAGTTTTTCCTTGGGTTAAATAAATCAGCTTTTAAGAAGGTCACAGACATGGCAATGAGCAAATGATTGACAGTGCTCAACAATTGATGCATCCAGGTTAGCTTTCTTTTCTTAACCAATATTCAAAGATGCAGAGAGATATACACATTCATGAATTAAGAATCTGAACCTATATTGTATGGTATAAGTGCTTATGTAATGTTTGGTAAAATGCTTAGGTGATCTTTCTTTCTTTTTTCCTAAATAAGCATTAGTAGATGTTTGCGTTATTAGATGGTAATTCTGAAATTCTAAATACCTCCATTACATCCATCATCATCATGATTAGTGTACTCTTACTCTAACTATTATTCCTTTCTTAATTGAACTTAAAATAGGGTTCCTACTTTCCAGAACTTCATATACCTCATTTTTAATGAATAAATTATTTAGGTATTTTTAATTATAGATTTCTGAATTCTATATATTGTTGTCTTTGTTATGTGGACAGATCACTTCATATCATTTCCTTCTCAAATTAAATTGATCTATGGTGTTTCATTACACATGCATCAAATGTGTGATTCTATTATGTTAGCATTGATTTGGAGTTTTTGTTCTTTGATGAGTGTTGAGATAGTTGTCAGTTTCATATTTTGGCGATAAAAGTGATGGTTGATTTGAATTCTACCTGTTTTGTGGTATATGATACTAAATTACTAATGCTCCTTTTTCATGGTTTGAAACTGAAACTATATTGTTATGCAGACAATCTGTGATGGACTAATAGTATTGGTGAAAATACAGCACTCTTGGGGCCATAGCCCACAGCTGAAGGTAGTGTATAAATGTTCTCATTAAATTTCATTATTGAAAGTAGTATTAAAGATTGTGTTTATAAAGATTATTATTTGTAAAGATCTTCATCAACAATCTTCCACCATCCTCCGTAAGTAGTTCTGTTTTTTGGTTTAAAGTTTTTCCAAGAACAATATCCTTTTTTTAAAGATAACTTTTGAAGCCAAAAAAAAACTATTTGAACAGGCAATTAGCACGTTGGCATTCTCCATGGAAATGTATTCTATCCTAATTCATAGTCCTCTTTTAATGGAGCAGAAATCGATGTATAGGCAACAAAATAAACCTTGGACTAAGAAGCTGTTCTGTTCGCCTGATCTGAATGTTTCTGATCTGAATTTTTTAAGATCTGATCTGATCTGATCTGAATTTTTCTGATCTGATCTGATCTGAATCTTTCTGATCTGATCTGATCTGAATCTTTCTGATCTGATCTGATCTGATCTGATCTGAATCTGTCTGATCTGATCTGAATCTTTCTGATCTGATCTGAATCTTTCTGATCTGATCTGAATATTTCTGATCTGATCTGATCTGAATCCTTCTGATCTGATCTGAATCCTTCTAATCAGATTTTTACTTTATAAACGGGTATACAATAATAATAATAATAATAATAATAATAATAATAATAATAATAATATTAATAATAACAACAACAACAACAACAACAATAATAATACTAATAATAATAATAACAACAATAATAATAACAATAACAATAACAATAACAATAATAATAATAACAACAACAAGAACAACAACAATAACAACAATTACTGCGTATAACGAATGTTAGGAAGTACCAGTATGCAATGCAGTTGTGGTTGGTGGACAACTACATGTCATAGAATAAATGTTCTTAGTTACTGAATATTATCGTGTACTTAAATTTATTCTTCTCGATCAAATGGTGACAGTATTATTTAGGCTAGTTGGATTGGTATAGAGTACTCAATTTTTACATTTATTAACACATCAATACTAAAATAAAAATAAAAATATAACAATAATAATACTAATACTAATAATATTAATAATAATAATATTAATAATAATAATCCAAAATAATAATAATAATAATGTAATAGTAATTATAGTAAAATAGTAATATACAAGTAATTGATAACAATAGAATGCTTCCAATTTGGTATGAATGTTTTTTATCTGATCTGAATGTTTCTGATCTGATCTGATCTGATCTGAATGTTTCTGATCTGATCTGAATGTTTCTGATCTGATCTGAATGTTTCTGATCTGATCTGAATCTTTCTGATCTGATCTGATCTGATCTGAATCTTTCTGATCTGATCTGATCTGAATCTTTCTGATCTGATCTGATCTGAATCTTTCTGATCTGATCTGATCTGATCTGAATTTTTCTGATCTGATCTGATCTGATCTGAATAAAATAAGAATAAGCAATAAGTAATAAGAATAAGACGAACAGAACAGCACCTAAGTTTATTCTTATTCCTCCATTAATTTACAAATGAAGTACAATGTTTCCTTGAGCACTACATTCCAAAATTCATTCTCTTAACATTCATGCCCTTTTGTCTACTATTTGGATATTGCCTATTCCAAGATACTTTCGTATTAGTCTTAAGTGATTGTGTTATACGAGTATGTGATTGTTAATCTAATTGACCTATTGAAGTTCAAAACTATGACCATCACATATTCTAGCTTACTAATGATCTGCTAGAACAATTGAACATGCTCTTATTAGAAATATTTTTAATTTAATTGACCTTCTGTTCATAAACAGTTTAGATATCACTACATTGAGTCGTTATTATGATAAATTTTTGAGGGACTTGGTTTTATTAAGATGAAAAAATTCAAGTGAAGCACACTATCTTTTTTTTGAATTAATCCATGTGAAATTTCAAGGTTTATGAGACATAAAAACCGCATTTAACATGTTTCTTTGTTCTTAAACATTTTGTCATGCGCATCCAATCTTTCTTTTGATTTAAAAACAGTTACTTAAAGCTTACAACATAATTTTCTGAAGATCTTTACCTATGCTTCTATCTTCTTACCTTATTACCAAAGGTGTCAGTTTGCCAATCTTTACTCTATCTTTTTTGCTTTTCCATAATAGCCGATTCTAAATCCGCATCCAAATCTTCTCCGCAGATATTTGGCCATCGATCGATTGGAAGCAGGCCAGAGGCTTCCGGTGGAGGGCATCATCAGGGTCGGGCTAGAGTTCTCCATTTTCATGGGTCGTTGTCGCCAACATCTATGTGTTGCTGCCGTTTCAGCAGCCGTGACCCCAGTGATCGCGATAGCAATTGCCTAAGGATATTCGGCAAGGATAGACTGCAACGACGCGTTCATCATTGGGCTCCGGTGACTGGTGATGTGGCATAGGAGGCGAAGCATCGGGCGTGGTCGCGTGGAGGAGGCAAAGCAGTGTCCCATCCACTGCAGCGACATCAACGGAGGGCCATAGACGGTGGCGACCAGTGCCTCAGCAACAAGTTCTCCAATCTTGGGTAGGCAGGCCTGGAGCTTTCCTTTTCAGTGACATGGCCAACCGAGAGATGACGCCAAAATTAACGGGGCAGAAGGGAAACCAGCCATATCGAGGGAGTGGAGACAGTTTCGAGTAGGGAGTGGCGAGGCGAGTGGCGGATTGCCAGTCTGTGCTTCTCTGGACTTTGGCACTGCAGCTTGCTGACTTTAGGAAGAAGACCGATAAGGTTTCTTCAGCTTTTGCTCGGGGCTTGCGGACCAAGAAATCATGGTTTGGTTTACAAACACTACACTTTAAGAATATTGTTTAGAAACTTTCAACTTTCAATAAACCTTTGGTAACAAAGTTTTATAAGCACTTGGTTTTTATGTCTTGGATATCTTTGGTTTTTTTATATCATCATTCTTGAGAATGCTGAGATGATAAAGAGGTACGACAAGATGAGAAAAATCATAGAAGTTAGATGAATTACTTGAGAGTGCACTAAGACATGATCAAGACATTGCTTTTTTTCTGGCGGCAACAGTTTATTTGTTGTGATTGTTTTGAACGGCTCATTTCCTGTTGTGACTGATTTAGCATTCTTCCAGGGTTGTATTTAAAGTTTTTCCTCATACAGGAGATTTGTACCTTCACATTACTTAGCTTTGGGTAAACTTTTTGTTACTTTTTTAAACTGAAAAGGATGCACCTGTATTCCATGAAGAGCAGTTGATGTTATATGACTTATATCTTCATATAACTGAGCTTTTAATAGTTCATATTTGTTTACCAATTATCCATTAAATATTAGTGCACAATCTAATTACAAAATTTGCAAAATATAAGATCGAGTTTACCCAGTCAACCAAGGCATTAGAATTGGTTGGACAGTAGGAATACTAAAAAAGTGTAGAGTCCACCTATAGCATACCACTGGAACATTCTCTTTCAAGCTGTCCAATCAATGAATGTTCGAGCAAAGTCTTAAATCGTTAAGTACTACTCCTTCCGTCCCTTTAACTTTGTCCCGTTTTACCTTTTTCATCTGTCTCATTAAGTTTGTCTCATACGATATTAAGTAATATTTGAGTGGTTAGAATTCATTTCTACTTTATTTACACTTTATCCATTCAATACCAATCACATAATTCCACTTTTTCTTAAAAACAACATCACACATTCACACCCCTTTGTCCCAAACTTAGGGGGACGGAGGTAGTACGTAGTTTTTATCGTAGGGTTTTAATGAAAAGTCCAATCAATGACCTAATATAATTAGATTTTTATTATATTGTATGTGTGGTAAGTAAGTTTTCAATAATGTGTAACGTGTGTGTGAATCAAACTTTTAATATTTATTATTTTACCACAATTGTCTCATTTTCCTCCGCTCCACTATAATTGTCCCACTATAATTATTTCAATAATTATTTGTAATAAATAATTTCATTCATTCCACTATAATTGTCCCATTTATAAAGGGTTTTCGGCTAATTTTACCAACTCTTCGTTTTTAAAAATCGTGTCATTCTCCTTTATCTCAATCTTTAGAGGGTCAAATTTAAAAATATGTTTATATATTTACATTTATAATGTTTACGTATTATAGTCCGTGCAACGCACGGGTGAGATACTAGTTAGTTCTAAAACAACACATACTCAAATAAGAATATTAGAATATGCATTATCAATAAATCTTATAATAAACTAAATAACCAATTTTCTGTTAGTTATGGACTTAATGTGTGTGTGCAACTCATTCGCATGACTGTGCGTGTGCACATATATATTAAAATTAAAAATAAAATAATTTTATCATGTGCATGGCACAGGTAAAGTTACATGTGCACGGCACGAGTAACTTATCCATAACTTTTCATAGGATTGAATAACGGACTCGTGTGTTGAATGCTAATGATGAATAAGATTATATTTGTACATAAAACAAATTGTCTGATGAATGATGTGTCATATGTATACACCTTTTATATAAAAAATGAGTGCATGATATAAGATTGTGTTTGGTAGGTTAGTAGGTATACATTCATCAACTCAACGAGATTCACCAATTAAAATGAAAATTACAAATGAGTAATCTCCAATCTTTGATTTACTTTCTTACAATGAAGACGTTAGCAAGTGCATTCATGCATTTACTTAATTTTGTTCATACATTAGCCAATAATGCATTAATCATATAATTATAATCATTTAGTTTTAATTACACAGTCTAATCTATACACTATACGTAGTACGTAGTATACTACAACTAATGCATTTGTAGAAATGGAATCTACCTCTCTATATAAAAAGAGGTAGATTTTCTGCCAAACTTGTGGGGTCCTTATGGTGTTTCCACTCATGGTGGGAAAAATTATTTTCTAACGTTGATTGATGATTTTTCAAAGAAAGTGTGGGTTTTGTTGATTGAGAATAAATCTGAAGTTTTTGATAAGTTTAAAAACTGGAAAACCATTGTTGAAAAACAAACCGGTAAGAAAATGAATTTTTTAAGGACCACTGTCAGTTTTGATTTCTGTGATAATCAGCTTTGTGATTTATGTGATACTTGGGGTATTTCTATGCATAAATCTGTTCCCTCCACACCCCAACCGGATGAGGTTGCTGAGAGGATGGTTAGAACTTTATTAGAGAGGGTGAGGGCTATGTTAGCTTCATCTGGGCTCTCTAATAAGTTCTGGGGGGAAGCTATTTGTTATGCTGTTGATTTGGTTAATCTGTCTGTTGGTCCCAGTTTATGCAGACTAACACACAGCTAGATGGTATTCATCGATTAAACAGAAGAAAAGAAGATCTGATAATGATAAGGCAATATCGAGAACATAGAAATTCTTCTTCTTGCTGTATCGAGAACTATTTGGGCAGCGTAAGGCTAATGTGTATTGATCGATATCGGTACCTGTACACAAGGCGCATATTTATAGGCGCTGTACAAGTTACCGATTTAGGTAAACCTTGGAAGTTGGGCCAAGGCCTTTTTGGGCCTTATTCCCTTTGCCTTATTTATTACATAATAATTACTAAGCTAATACCATAAATGGTATAACTAGTCTACTTTATTAAACAAGACATTACTGACAAACTTGACCCACAATAAAAGTTCTAACAATCTCCCCGTTTGTGGTCAAGTGCCGTCTTGCTGGGTTTCTTCACTTCTGAGCTTTGTAATAGTTCTTTCTGAGATTAAGTGCATGCTCATAGCTCCTGAGTGAATTTCTGTTTTCAAGCTGTGTCTTTATGGCTTTTAGGATGTCTTCTATTCTTTCCAGCTCCCTAAGTTCATCCTTTGTAGCTTCTGTTGACTTCTTGACAAGCTCTTCCCTTTTTGATTGCAATCTATTTCTGATGATCTTTAGTGTCCCATCGCAATATTTGTTTATTTCACTGACAAACAAAAGCCGCTTCTTTCCTTCATGATTCAGATAGATGACCGAGACTGGGTTGTCAAAGATGTGATCTTCTGGGAAGTCTTCTATCCCTGGTCTGTCAAGGTTTGGCTTTGTTAGATTCACTTTGGGATAATTCATTTCCAGACCCATCTAAAGATCATGACCTCCATGATAGCGAATTTGTCTCATCATGAACCTTTTTATGGCTTCAAAACCTTCCTTTGCAAGTCTATCTTTATGGACTGGTAGCTCTCTGCATCTCATAAACATTTGATAGACGTCGTCCATATGTAACAGAAAGAAATCATTTTCTTGACAGGTGAATGTTGATCCATCAGTTCTTTATAGATGAAAGACCATGAATTTGATCTTCTCCAAGTATTCTTCTGTTACTTTCAGGATTGTTTGTACTGGACATCCGCTTGTTGCAAGATTATGATTCAAAGTTTGTCGTCGTTCTCCCGTGGATCTGTGTCCGAGCATGTACAAGTTTCCACCTCTGTCTCTTCCTTTGAGGTGATTGATGCCACACATCCTGAGTTCCATGTAGGTCTTGATCTTCTCAGGTGTGCGCCAAATTCGTTCTTTGATTTCTTCCAGAAAGGGAGTTTTAATCCTGACACTGTCCAGAGGTTTCAGAGTAGTCTTTTGTTTAGTGATAGATTTAGGCTCCTTGTATTTTTCTCCTTCTTTTATCTCATCATTGTCGAGCCCAATCATTTGTGCATGATATTTATTGAGAAACTCTCTGAGCTGCCAACTTGACACCTTTCGTACTGCTCCGCCCCCACTCTAAGATCATCCCATTCTGTCCACTGGCAGGGCCATTTGTCATAAACAAGAATTTCTTCAAGTTCATCGGGTGTTTGATCATCGTGTTGGCTGGAGGGATCCTGCTGCTGCTGTGGCGACATGTCTGGCGTAGCATTGGGATCCTGGTGAGACTTGCAGGGATCCTCAATTTCCTCAACACGATGCTCTTGCGCAGAGACCAGACCTCTATACTTTGTTACATGCGGCCAATCCTCCCTTGGTTGAGAATGTGAAACACCGGGATCCTCAGGATTGCCCGTTGACATCAGTTTCGAACTAGGTTCTAGCTGATGGCCTGAGTAGGAAGATGACTCATGGTAGCATCATCAGGACTTCCATTCCGTCCTTGGTAAACATCTATAGGAGATGCGCCTCGGAATGTTTTGTCTAGCTCGACCATGCTAGAGAGAGAGGCTAGGGATTTTTGGCTGGCTGAAGTAGTAGGTTGCACATTGGTAGAGGTAGGCGGTTGGTTTGGCTTTGAGGGTGGGCTCGTAGAAGCAACATGTTCAAGTATCCGCTGGCGCTTGTTCTCCCCCTCATGAGAATCCGAATCATCAGGATCCTCATGTGAACGTTTAGCGCCACGGAGACTGTCACGGCATGTGTTCTGTGTATCTAGAGCATGGAGAAGGGCTTTTTGAAGAGGGGTGAGGTTGCCTTCTTCTACGTCTAGTATACGGTCGTAGATCTCAGCTACAAGATCTTCGAAGGGTACGGTTTTGAGGTCGGGTTTGGTCGTTGTAGGGGAGAATACTAGTTCTGTATCCTGGGTTCCCCTTGATGTGGATGGTTGTTGGGTTTCTATGGCTAAAGGTGTAACACCCCGGCCCCGCAGGACCCGAGGAAGTTACTGCGGACCAATAGTACTGTCCCCACAAACCACCACGAGCCTTTACCGCGCACTTTGTCCTCACTCATGCGCGCCCTGAGAAACTTCCCAGGGGGGTCACCCATCCCAAGACTACTCCCGTGCAAGCACGCTTAACTTTGGAGTTCTTGGTGATGAGCTCCCTTAAAAGGAGATGCATCTTGTTGGTATGAGTAGTACTATTAATCCATTTATATTAAATCTCAAGTGTTACAAAAGGTGTGGAAATAGGTATGGAAATGGTTGGGGGCTGTGTTGTTTGGGGTTTGGATGGTATATTCTGAACAACTGGGGTACTTCCAGAGTCTTGTGCATTAGCGGTTATTGCTTCATGCACCCATGGTTTAATGGTAGACTCTAGAAAGCTGTTCAGATATACAAGAATGTCTTCGGGAATTGTGGTATGTTAGAACTTTTATTGTGGGTCAAGTTTGTCTGTAATGTCTTGTTTAAATAAAGTAGACTAGTTATACCATTTACGGTATTAGATTAGTATTTATTATGTAGCAAATAAGGTAAAGGGAATAAGGCCCAAAAAGGCCTTGGCCCAACTTTCAAGGTTTACCTAAATCGGTAACCTGTACAGCGCCTATAAATATGCGCCTTGTGTCACTATGCCAAAACTACTTATTTTCGACACTTGTTCTTTTCTAAAATTGACTAGCAAAAACAGTCGATCGAATTTTGACTGACCAAATACGTCAATAGGCT